ACTTGTAAAGTTGTTCTCTGCCTAATGAGCAATTAAAATAAAATGTTTCTGCCTCAAAGTAATGCTCAGTAGTATTGCATCAGTATTAGTATCAACCATTTCTTACTTTGCCTTCAAAAACAGTAAACACATGAGAGCTAGAGCATGAAGAGGCAAAACGAAGTGTAAAAATTAATTTAAAATACACAAAGATCATAGAAATAGTAAGAGAAATATGGCTTAAGACTTAGATGTTCATTTAGCATTGCTTATACCAGTAACAATTTTTCCTCTTGTCTCCTCAACTCCCAGAGCCAGATTGGGTACAATGACAAGTGAATGCATCTAGGAAATTTTTATCTTCTTACAAACAGTAGTTTTGGGGCACCTTAATCCAGCTCAGGATCACTGCATTAGGGGGTCAAGAAATCACTTTTCTTCTTGCTGCACATAAGTTCTTAGAGTCTCTTTAATGAATAAAACAGGCGAATTTCCCCAGGGAACTTTCTCTGGGTAAAAATTCACTGGGACTGTTGCAACTGAAGACTTTGCAGCTTTGCCATGCACTTTGTTTAGAGGCTCAGCTGCCCACAATGGACATTACAGCTGTGTTTCCTGGAACAAAGATTGGATTTCTTGGGGCAAGAAAGCCTCTTGGCACATTTCTCAAGAAACAAAAATAGCTGACAAACAAGATAGTTATCCCTGGGCTAAGGTGTTGGCAAGATGTACTTCTGTGCGTCAGCGGTGCCACACTGCACAGAGAGTAATAAGGAGAAAAGTCCACAGGGTGGGGGTGGGGATCTGTGGGGAACCAGCAATATGCACACAAAGAGTAGCTCATGGAAAACCAGGGATGAACTAGTACTCCAATAACTCCCCCTTCTGGCTGTAGCATCCTTCATTGTCACTACATTGCTGCTGCCTCTTCTGACAACAGACAAACAAAGGGTTGCCTACAGAAGCACTGGCTGTGTCAGGAGAGCAGCATTTAAGCACCAGCCATTAGGGAGCAGACTTAGCCCTCTTGAAGTTTGATGAAAATTACATCTCAGGATTAAGGAGAAGCTTTCTTTCCTGCCTTTTCATGGGGAAGAGAAGCCTGTCAGCATAGCTCAAGCATCAACTGAGAATGTTACACATAGAGAGGAAAGGGCTCCCTTCCTCCCCCCCACACGTTATGATAGAGGAACCCTTATTCAAGCCCCCCTTTCCTTCTTGAGGGTGTGGTGGTCTTTTATATAGGGGCTTCTCTGTGGAGTTGCCGTTTCTCAGGGGGGAGGGGAAAAGTTCCCCTCACTATTTCACTGAATGAACAGATGAGGTGATACTGTTCAAGTCCCTGTGGCTGACTCAGGTTCCCTTACACGGAAAGCAAAAATAAGAAAATAGGAAGAGTGACACTCTTTGCTTTCCACTTCTGCTGTGGCCCTTGGCCCAGGGGAGATGAGGACCTGTTGCCAAAGCCAAAACCAACTTATTGCAGGCCCATACATAGAATAATAGAATTATAAAACTGGAAGGAGCCATTTCAACCCTCAGGCCTAACCCCCTGCGAGCTACAGTTAAAGCATCCTTGATAGACAACTGTCTCAATTATGCTTGAGTTCATCCATTAAAGGGATGGCTGCCAGCTCTGTCAGTAATTGGCTTTGTTGTTAAAACTGTTGTTACTGATAAAAAATTTCCCTTGCCAGCTTCCATTGCAGCACCTCCTTCTTTGACCTGGCAATTTTTCTTCCTCCAGCAGAAGCTGAGGTGTCTGAAGTGTGCCTACCTATTTGTTCCTCCTGTGGAATTCTGGGGGGGGG